AGCTGCTGCTGACGGAGACACACAGCTCTGCATGATCCCCTGCAGCTCTACATGATGCAGCTCTATGATCAGCTGCAGCTGTGTCTGCTGTGACGGACCGGTGAGCGGAGCAAAACACACTCTTAAAGTTAGACCTAACACACTTAGCTATTTAATCTACCTCTAGAACAAGCTAAACTAGTTATACATATGTTTATTCTTCACTGTCGGGTCACTCATTACTGGATCAGCCAGCTGCATGAGATACTGACAGGCTGTCGGGGGGGAGAGAGGGAGAGAGAGACAGACAGACAGACACTTTTGAATAATGCAGTTAATCTACTATAATTAGTTTGTTTAATATAGAGTCGTTATCAATTTGTTTTAAAGCTCAATAAATAACAAAGAAGTCCTTTGGCCGGCACTGATGGCACGTTTCCACTGCAGCGGGTAGCTTGCTTTAAGCGTGCCGAGCCGTGCGGGGCCCGTTTTTGGTTGCGTTTCCACTTGGCCTAGTACCGGCTAGCGGGTCCTAATTCACAGTTTTTCTGGCCCCATAAAATCGTGGTTCTAGGGCCTGGAACAACCAGGCTGAGTCGGGCTGAGTATGCTAAACTAGAGAGAATCACTGGCAAGGGGGCTGCAACTACAACAAGATGAACGTATTTGACCGTGATTTAATTGTAATACACGTTTCAAAATGATGCCGAAGTAACAACATACTGATACCAGTTAGTAAAAACCATGAATTAATGCTTTGACAAGTCTTCAGACAGACGGCAGGCGAAAAACCTTTTAAAATGTGTGTTTTCTAAATGTACCGTCCACACTCACAACAACGGCCTATACAGACATAAACCAGCGACTGTATTCACCATGACACAGGCAGTCTGTGGTTTGTACTTGTTTAACTTCTGTCTAGTTTCTGAACAGATATGAAGAGCTGTGAGCTCTGAGTGCTAAGAGCTAACGGCTGTGTTGTTTTTCTGGGGCTCTCATTGAAGATGACAGTCACGGCTCCGCCTACACTGCGTTACTATAGATACTACCCCAGTTCCTAAACTGTAATGTTTCAGAGCGGTCGCTGTGTGTGTTACGTCCTCAGCCCATCATTCATCCATTGTATTCCCCAGACTACCTGTGTTTACGTTCTTCCATCATGTTTTACACTGGTGGTGGGTAATGAAATATGTATAAAATGTACTAACCCTGTCTGACACTGAACAGAAGGCTGTGTTTACTCACTGTGACTGTGGAGCCATTGCAGGTGGCTTTGTGGGAGGGGTCTGTTTTTACTGCTTCATTCTCTCTGCACCCTCAGAAGACTGCATTAGAAACTTCACACACAAGCAGTCCATGCTTTTCCATCTCAGTTGTTCTTGTCTCCACCTGCTGTGTGTCTAGTAGGGATGTGCATCTCCATCACTGAGGCCGATGCGATGCGCATCTCGAGACGTTGCCAACGATACGATACCTTTGAAGCACCGGGCGATGTGATGCGATTCACGCCTGTTGCGATACAGTTCGATACGATTTGATTCAACATTATGCGATTCGGGGCGATACGATTCAACACAATGCAAAATAATGATAGAATTCAATATGGTACGTCAGAGGATTTAGTTTTATTCCTTATATGCAGCAAATCATAAATTAACAAAAGTGCTAAACATACAGTGTTTCCCACAGATCTGAAATATACTTGGGGGGGGGTTGAGGTGATGTGCAACAACATTAACCTTTCTGTTGGTCACTTGTTAGCAGACCCTTCACGCGATGGCAGAGCGAACAGGCAGAGCCCTGATAGCCCTATAGTTGAAATCTACTGCCCACAAATAAACATATGGACATGGGTTACTATTTAAAACAAATGGTAAATGTATTTAGGAACCTATCAATGTGATTTTAATTGGTGGTGGTCCTCAAAGACTTTTTTTTAAATGTTGGAGTTAATTGCATCAATCTGGTGCACTTTGAGGGGGAAATAAAGAGACTAGACCTATATGAAACAGAACTGTATACACTTCAATAATCATAAAATCATGGCCATAACCAATAACATATCCAATATGAAAAAACACTGACACCCTCAAATGGAAATATGTGTTTACATAAATGGTTACCAAACCGTTTGAGACCCACTGAGAACTTAGACTAAGTTAACTATCTAAACACTCAGAGAGTCCTTTACCTCACCAGAGTTGAGGTTATCCCGAGCTTGAATGACACACAGAGACCAATCAAGAGCTTTGATTTATGATCTGTATGACAGTGGCCATGTCGGCAGGCCACATCATGTGGACAGCCAGTCACCCTGTGTGAGGCAGGCCACTTAACAGGCCAGGCCATCGGGAGGACCAGTCTGGGGCTGGGTACAGGAGGCGTAGAGCGAGGGATCATTGTCCACAAGTTAATCGATCACAGATGGCGTCGTGGTCACGGACGAAAACCCCCCGAAAAAAACAACCTAAATGGGTCGTGAAATATACTTGGGCGGCTAATAATATACCCGCCCAAGTAAAGTCTGTGTGGGAAACCCTGACATATTTGGTTCTCTCTGCTAGTACTGCGCATCCCATCATGCTGTTTCTTTTTGACCTTAAAAAAACAAACACTTGGACCTTTCACAAACAGGCCTTTTCACAAGTGTTCTCTGTCTCCAGAGTACAATACCATTTTATAACACCTTACAGTTAAACCATTTAAGGATGCATTGCCCAGGATCAGTGTTGTGCTAGTTACTGAAAACCAGTAACTAGTTACCATTACTAGTGACTTCACTTCAAAAGTAACTCAGTTACTTTACTAGTTACTTGCACAGAAAAAGTAATGCGTTACTGTGAAAAGTAACGTTTTCGTTACTTGGAAAAAGGGCTCCCATTACTGCCCTTATAGCCTTCATTTCAGTACTGTTATTGCATTGGAGAATAATACAATCTGTTGATCAACTTGACATGCATTATATGCAATCTGGATTGCATCGATATTAGCTGGCTTTCCATTTCTGTATATTCTTTCTCCAGGTAGTTGGAAAAAGTTTTCCGTCCCATATGCCGTGTGCCGCCCGGACATGCTATCATGCTAACTAGCTCCCTGAAAGCGGGTGACTCCACTGTAGCAATAGCCTGCATGTGTTCTACAACATACCGTGCAATGGCTTTATCGACTTTTCCCTGGCTAGCAGTCCCTTGGTTAAAATCCAGCCGCTGTTGCTTAGGTGGAGGTGGAGTGGCGTCGGCTGAGTCTCTGTGGTCTTAGCTACTAGCTTTGTCCCAGCATGTTGTTTTTGCAGATGTTTTAACAGATTTGAATGACTGGTTTGGGCAGTAGATAGGATCTTTGACCCGCCAGGACACAACTTACATTTAACAGAAACTTTCTTTTCTTTGTGCTCGACAAAAGTGAAATAGTGAGAATATCTCCAGGTGGAGAAACTAGACTTGAGCTCCGCCGCCGCCATGATAGTCTTGTTAGTAAACAACACAAACACGCCCACAGCCCGTCTCCGCATGTGACACAGGAAGTATCAAAGTACATTTACTCAAGTACTTAAGTACAGTTCTCATCTCTGTTCGCCTGGCTGTTGACTATATAAAAAAACTAACTGAGTAACGCACCATGTAGTAACGGTAACTGAGTTACTGAATTTAAAAAGTAATGCGTTAGAGTACTAGTTACTGCCAAAAATAACGGCGTTACAGTAACGGCTTTAGCGCGTTACTGTAACGCGTTACTTTGTAGCGCGTTAGTCCCAACACTGCCCAGGATTAACAATGTGCAAATAACAACTACCATAGAGCAATGCCCACGCAACTGCAATGCAACTGGTCTTTGGTCCGATGCAAAGACGCTACAATCGATGCATCGCGAGTTCAACCCAAACTGTAGCCGACGTGCACTCTTTCAACCGGTGCACTCGCATTGTGAACGTTTATGCACGCCTAGACTACTTTAACTCCCTCCTGGCTGGTCTACCTGCATGTGCCATCCGACCTCTGCAGCTCACCCAGAATGCAGCGGCTCGTCTGGTCTTCAACCTTCCTAAATTCTTCCACACCACTCCGCTCCTCCGCTCCCTCCACTGGCTTCCGGTAACTGCTAGAATCCACTTCAAGACACTGGTACTTGCTTACCGTGCTGCGAATGGATCTGGCCCTTCCTACATCCAGGACATGGTTAAACCGTACACCCCAGCGCGTGCACTACGCTCTGCATCAGCCAAACGACTCGTTGCGCCCTCGCTGCGAGGGGCACCCAAGTTCCCATCAGCAAAAACACGTGGGTTTGCTGTCCTGGCTCCAGGATGGTGGAATGAGCTCCCCATTGACATCAGGACAGCAGATAGCTTGCACACCTTCCGGCGCAAACTGAAAACTCATCTCTTTCGACTCCACTTCGAGCGTTAGAACGATTAACAAAGCACTTTTATACCAATAAAGGACTGGATTACCTAAAGCCAGTTGAGTAGCACTTGAAATGTTTGGCTCTATGAAACCTGATGTACTTATATGATTCTGTTTTCTTCAAGGTTGTGTCTTCCTGGTCGAATGTACTTATTGTAAGTCGCTTTGGATAAAAGCGTCAGCTAAATGTAATGTAATGAAATGTATGCAGGTGCACCGATGTGAATCGGTGAATCTTAAAATCCCTAGTGTCTAGACATCACAGTCCCGTTGTGTATTTCTGTTTTGGAGCAGGCAGAGCTCCTGAACATTTGGTCATTGTGCTGCTGTGGCAGCAGATCCCAACAGATACCCACAAGCAGGGGGTGTGTTGTTGGGTCTCTTTTAAATGAAAGAGTTTAGTCTCAAACTGTTTTGAATGAAAAGTGATGAGGCAAGTCCTGTTATGTTTTCGCGCTAAGAAAATGTACAGAAATGTTACTGGCAAGTTTGACATGTCATTTCAGCCATGAATGAAGCAAAACAAGGTACCATGCCAGTTCCTGTATGTTCAGCTGTAAATGTAACGTTTATCGCTGTGAACTGTAAGTGTCCTAACGTCTCCTCCCTGTTGTCCAGCATCAGCAGCACCCTGATGGACATGGACAGCACTGCGTCCAGCGGGCGCTCCACCCCTGCCACACTCAACGGTCACTGTGGGGGGGCGGGCAGCGGATCCACAGCAGTGGGGGGGGGCAAGTCTCTGAGCTACACCTGCTGCTGGGACCACTGCCAGCTGCTGTTCCCCAGCAGCCCCGACCTGGCAGAACACATCAGAGCCACACATGTGGACGGGCAGAGAGGAGGGGTCAGTATTGAGCTTATTAAGGCAGGTGAATAATAAACCAGTTTAATTTCTGAAACTGTCAGGAGTTCAGGGGCCGATCTCCCCCCATAATAACCAACCTACAATCAGGGAACTGCTAAATGTGTTTGCAGTGCATCCTCTTAGTTAACTCTGAATGTATTGAACCAAAATGTAGTGATTTAACCCGTACAACACCCTCTGGCCTGACATGGCATTCAGCCCAACGACGACTCGGTGTGTCAGGGCCTTAAAGTTCTTCAAACTGTTGGTAGTAAGTCTCAGGAATGTCACGGGTTACTCGGACTCAGAGCCTTCTGAACTGCCTGCTTTGTTTTTCCACCACATCTGGAAAACCATAGGACACATTTACACCCAGGAGAGAATAAAGAACTCTGTAAAGAAACCACACCAAACAGGGCTCGGTGCTATGTTCAGGGGAATACTGTAATGTTGTGTTGACTGGTTATCAGTGTGTGCTTTATGTGCGTGTGCCACAGGTGTTTGTGTGTATGTGGAAGGGCTGCAAGGTGTACAACACACCATCCACCAGTCAGAGCTGGCTGCAGAGACACATGCTGACCCACAGCGGAGACAAGCCCTTCAAGGTGAGAAACACACCACACACTCCACTCCATCCACCCAGAGGCAGAATACATGCTGCTCAGCCTTTGGACCACAGCACATCCCTGACTCTTTAAGTGTTCCCGCAGTGTGTGGTAGGGGGCTGCAATGCCACGTTTGCCTCTCAGGGGGGGCTGGCCCGGCACGTCCCCACTCACTTCAGCTCCCAGAGCTCATCCAAAGTGTCCAACCTGGGCAAACTGAAGGAGGAGTCCCCATCCAAGGCTGGCCTCAACAAGAGGAGGAAACTGAAGAACAAACACAAACGCTCCCTGCGTATGTACACACACACACACACACACACACACACACACACCCAACTTCAAATACAAAGTACTCATCAAGTGCCTGCGAGTACTATTTGAAACGTGTTTTTATTTCCAGCCCGACCTCATGACTTTTTTGACGCTCAGACCATGGACGCCATCCGCCATCGAGCCATCTGCCTCAACCTGGCCACACACATCGAGAGCCTGGGCAACGGACACAGTGTGGTGTTCCACAGCACGGTGGGCAGACACACACACACACACACACACACACACACACAAGGTTGATGGGATCAAACAGGCGAGAGAGGGACTTGGAGAGGTAGGCGGCCTCGTATGGCTGCAGAGTCCTTCAGAGCCTTCTCTGGGCTACACACACACACACACACACACACACACACACACACACACACACACACGATATCATGTACAGAGGTGGCAATTCATAATCTAATCAAGTTTCAGCATGATGGGAGAGTAAAGAAAGTGCTGCAATTGAATATATAATACATATACACACACTTGTACCTGTCTCACACACACACACACTCTGCAGGAATTAATTTGTTGTTTTGTTTAGATTTTCATGCCTGTGTCTGTGTGTTTAGGTAATAGCCAGGAGGAAAGAGGACTCTGGGAAAGTGAAGGTCTTATTGCACTGGACGCCTGAAGACATGTGAGTCCTGCTCTTCTCCCCCCATGTGAGCCCAGTAGCCGTCTCCGAAACCAGCCCGAAACCAGCCCTAGCACACACACACACACACACACTCACAGCCTCGCTGCGTCCGCCGTCTCAGGCTGAGAAATCCGGGGAGCTGCAGCTGAGAAAAGATTGAGTGTGCAGTATACGCCGTGAAGTGGTTTGCGGCCTGCCAGTAAACCCGAAGAAGAAGTGACGTCAGTGGCTTCATTTGCCTATTCCTCCCTCAGGGAACTTATTCCGGTGTGAACGCGGCTAATCTGTATTTAGTTCCATGGGGGTACTAAGTGCCGGCACTAAGTACGGCAAGGTACTTGGTGTGAAAGCGGCTATGCATAAAAAGCTACATAACACACAAAGGGACGGGTAATAACCAGAAAAGCATGACAAAAAAAGAACAGGTTGAACCACTGCATTAGGAGCAGGGGCAGCTACTCTAATGAGTGTATATATAAATACTATACACACTCTGATGCCATGAGCCATGCATACAGAGCTGCAGCTGCTTTGCATACAGAGCTGAACTGTAACTGTGCCCCCCCAGGCTGCCAGATGTGTGGGTGAACGAGGGAGACAGACTGCAGCAGAAGACCAAGGTGGTCCACCTGTCCAAGCTCCCCACGGACACCGCGGTGCTGCTGGACCCCAACATCTACAGGTGTGTGTTGGTGACCATGCAAAGGTACTTTTGGACGTTGCTAGAAACCAATATTTGACCCTCTCTCTTTTCCCCTACAGGATGTTCTTCTAACCCCTTCCAGGTGAACTCCACTGTCACTTCCTGCTTGTCCCACCTCAAGGAGGAGGAGGAGATGTTTCCTCTTCATCTCCATGTTCCTCTTCTCCCTTCCTCCTTCTCCCAGAGGATGCTGGGAGTTTAGTGACTTATTTGCCATGGCTGTCAGGGGCCGGCAGTGTTTCTGCCTTAGAGCTGAGTTTACAGAGGCATGTACAGGGAGGTGTTTAGGTAACACGACTAGACTGAAAACTAACTGTAGACACGCGTGTAGAGAAGCTGTCCTTGTAAATACTTGAGATTTGTAATATATTTTTATACTTTGAATTTGTTACTGTAGATAGAAGTTTTGTTTTCTGCCGAACATTTTGAAATAGATGTTTAAAACTGATGATATTGGTCATGTGCATATAGTTGGCATTGCTCTGGTTTGATGTCATTAAACTTTTCCAACCTGAACTCGCTCTGAAGTCTTTACTGTTCATCACCATGGCAACAATCTGCATGTTTCTGTTCCACTAGCTAGCGACATAGTTGTCCCATCAGGAATACCTTGTGGTCATAAAAAAGCCTGTTCTATAACGTGATTCTGTTCTCTGTGTCTAGCGGATAAACGACCCAGTACATAATGAGGATCTTCCAAGAAATATATAGAATAAGAAAGGATTATGGTCACCTGGAAAACGTGTTTGGGTTTAAGGACAGAAAATAAAATGCTGCCTTTAAACTTAAAGAATTGTGACTTACACTGAAGTCTGCCGATACAATTTGACTTTGGATTATTATAGTTTTATTCCACTCATGGCAAATATGATAAAACATGTACACTTGAAGCTGTTTTGATGGACGGGGAGCAGAGAGTCTTATTGTACTCAGGAATAGATGGCCTGTCAATCCCAGTTGCTTACAAATACTTCTAGTAACATGAAACCAAAAGTCAGCACAACAATCTACCATCAGAGAAACCGGTTACCTGACTTATTCATACTGTCGACAGCCCTTCAAATCATCAGGTAAAGACTTCCACAGTTTAACACAGCTGTTGCTCTTTGAGTGTGAGTTTAAATAATGATGCTTTATGCACCACAGCGCCCCATGTAGCGTCACGGTTTGCTTACACAGTCCATCGTTTTCTTTTACAATAATAATGTATGTCTCATCACGGTCATTCCAAGTCTTATTTTAGATTATACAACAATGGATTTAATTAACTCACTTCTCCAAGGAATAAGGAGTTCAACACGTTGCTTTCTCCGTACAAGTCAGCCTGGAAAACTTGATTATTACTATTAATAAAATGACTCGGTAATATCCTTAAGGATTTTCCAAGTGTGCCTAATATTATCTCTATTATCAATTAACATTTTGTTATTTTGAGACAAGCCAAAAAAGAATTATAATATTGGTCAATGTATTATTGAGTCTATTATTCACTTGTATTTCCTTTCAGCAGTATTTGTTCTACAAATGCCACAACAATATTTCTACTCTTTTCCATTTGAATTTCCACAGTTAAACATTCCATCAAAATCTACTGTTGTCATGCAGTCAACTGGTCACTGTCCACATGAAACAGTGTCTCGGATAAGGCTATCACTTTGAAGTGTTTTAAGATATTCATCAATCTTTGTAAAGTGTGTGTAAAGACTAAAGAATGGTTCTATGAATGACATCATGCTGACAGGCAGCAGGGGGCGCCACGCCCCGGCACTGTTCATTTTAAAGACTTTTTTCAATTGTATTTTTTATTCTTTAAAAATTATATCAAATACACAATAAAAAGGTACATAAACATCAATTCACAAAACTGAGGGCTTTTTGAACAGGAAGGAAAAGAAACCACAAGTGGTCATTCAGGAATTAAAGTGCTTGTTTACTTTTGCATAATTTAATAAATCTTTTGTAATTGATTTAGTATCATTTCATTTAGAAAGACAATGAAAACTGGGTACATTTGAAAAAGCAACATTTGTGAATAAGATATTTTTGGACAAAATCAATTGTTTCCACACAAGGTCAATAAACGCTGTGCTGATGGTTAACATCATACTGTCCATACAAACAGGAAGTTGCCGTATTCTCATTTTAACAATATTTGTATACCCTTTTAATGATGCTGTGGCTAAACGTTGTGTTTGTATAGAATCATATTTTTTTATAACACTAAGGGGCGAGCTTGGGTGTCTTGAAAGGCGCCATCGCTGACGTCATATTTACTAGCCGGAAGTAGTTGTGTCCGCTGAGGAAAATGGCTGGGCTGCTGAAAAAGGTAGGATTAGAGGTCATGTTTTGTTTAACGGCAAAAAGAATGCAGTTCAAACTGAGTTAATATTTGTTCTCACCATATTGTTACAGTTTACGGTTTACTACCATCGGCCAATAGTGCAGTTTAAACAGGAGGTGTGATGCTAGCTGAGTTAGCATTGTGTTGGCAGTTAGCTGCCGGATGGGAAAACTCACGGTTAAACACAGGTTAATATGACACATAAACACGGGTTTATATTATTTACAGGGGTAAATATTACACACAGAGGGTTCAGAATGACCGGACAGAGACCCTGCCGGGGAGAGACGGCGGTAACTACAGCATAGCTTAACCCTTAGATGCATAAGTGGGTCTGTTTTGACCCGGTGAGGTGGTTTTCTTAGAGTATCTTTGTAATTACATTTTTTTTCATTTCATATTTCAGCTATTCCTCAAAAACCATGTTTTGGATATCATGCCATTCACATTTTAAGAAATTGTAGTTTTTGTATTTCCACCATAGACTGTATATATAAAGATGTCCACCCCAAGCTTCCATAAGTGGGTCAAAAATGACCCGCATGTATTTTCTATGGAGTTTCGTTTTTTTTTTCAAAATGTAAAAAAAATGTAAAATTATAAATAGTGAAAAATTAAATATAAAAAATAATTCTAGTGTGAACCAAAATATACAAGTGATTTTTTTTAGCCAAAAATGGCATAAAAACACACATTATTCTAATACGGGTCCTTTTTGACCCGCTTATGGAAGAGTTCAGGGTCCAGTCACTCGTGCATCTTTAAGATAAGCATACAATTATTATAAATGGACTATCCATTTCAATGGTTTAAGTCAGGGGTACTCAAATACAAATCTTAAAGGTCCAAAATAAATGTTTCAATAAGACAAAGGTCCGTTTATTACGGTCATTCAAACTTTTAAACAATTGCAACAAGATTCTTAATACGAGGTTGCAAAAACAAAAATAATCTGTATGCAGCCGTTTTCATTGTTATTGTGTCTGTGCTTGACCCCTCAGAGTCGCAGAGCTGCACAGTTATGAATAAAGGCAGCTGCACCCTCTTTCATTCAGCATTCCCATTATTGCTTTATAAATGTCTTGCCCCCTTGTGTGTCCACTGAGGTTCGTCAGGCCCAACACATCTTCAACAAACTCCCCCTTTGCCTCATCATAACAACTCACAAACACCAGCAACTGAGCATTGTCAGTGGTGTCAGTGGACTCACCCACAGCTAAGGAAATGCACTGTGCATTTTTTATTCCATCACAAAGCTGATGAATCAAATCACCAGCCAGTATTTATGTTCTTCTGGTTGCTGTGGAATCTGAGAGGGGGATTTGCTTGATTTGACCTGTTATTTCCTCTTTTTGTTTGCCTTCAACATGGTCTCCATCACTTCAGTCATGCATTATTTTATACTTCAGTTATTATCCAGTGGAAAGTCCTTACCTGCTGGCCTAGTTCAATCAAAGTGGTTACTTTCTGTTGGCTGGGCAGTGTAGTTTTACACACCGTCTGATTTGACTTTCTCAGGACTTAAAACAGTTTTTTGGGGGCAGACCCCCTCAAAGAAAATAATATATTTACACACGTAAGGTCATCATCTTAATAGTTGTGTATGCTCATCTGTGAGCGGAGCATCAAGTTGATGTCTATTACAGCTGAATGCGGCGATTACCATTTTGTTCAGCAAAACGCCTCACAAACGTATTAAGATCAACAGCTTTAGTGCGTTTTGATTCAATGCTGAGTACAGCCACACTGACAGTCTCTTCTCTGTCAGACCGCAAATACCTCATTCCTTCAGTACTTGGGTCCGAATGCTTCTCGTTTTGCGCCGTCCAGTTCAAAATGAAATCGCCGCCAATCATATGTCCACGCTCGCGCCAGGACCGGGGGAGGGGTTACATGACGTGCATCTTGTGCTGCATTCACTTGCACTCGGACATTAGAGACTTTCTCTCATAAATGTCCGATGAGCCACAACTTTTCTTTCAAAACAAAGCTGCCAACTGGGGTGGCAGCTGGGGTGGCAAGGCTATTGTTTAGGGTGTCAGTTGCCACCCCGGTAGGTGAAACTAGGCTACTAGCTACAGTACAGATGGAACTAGATGAGCTGTTAACTCTCGCTCTGAATTTTTTTTGTTTTTGTTTTAATTCTCGCTCTGACTTAGACAGGTTGAAAGAGACACACACATTTTTCCCACCCGCATTCCGCGAAGACCCGCCCTACTGTGCCTCTGATTCGCAGATTGTTTGGGGGGAAAAAACGCTGACTGGATGCTGAATGTGATTGGACCAAAGCGTTGACACACACAGGTGGAACACAGTGGAACAGTCAGACATGTAGAGCGCTGTTTGCAGTGGACATAGCGGAGAATTTTGACTCGTTGTAAATGCGTTGTGGCGATGTCTCACATATAATACAGAGAGATCATACATATGAAAAGTATAATTTGCTCAGAGTCCGGAGACAGTGGTGGTTCGGTCCGGATCCGGACCGGAGTCCGTAGTTTGAGGATGCCTGGTTTAAGTTGTAAAGGTGCATCATTAGTAGTAGCAACAGAATGAAATAAAGTTGCATTGTAGTTTGTCAATATGATGAGGTCCTGCTGGTTCCTCACAGCATGTGAAACATGTCGATGCACTTAATGTCATAGCAGGAACTGCAGGTAGACCTAATATTATGAGATGATATAAGTATAATATGTTGTTGCTGAGGGCCTGTCCCGTCTGGATTTAACTGTAAGGCCTAGTACTATACATCTGTAAGGCCTAGTACTATACATCTGTAAGGCCTAGTACTGTACATCTGTAAGGCCTGGTACTGTACATCTGTAAGGCCTAGTGCTGTACATCTGTAAGGCCTAGTACTATACATCTGTAAGGCCTAGTGCTGTACATCTGTAAGGCCTAGTACTATACATCTGTAAGGCCTAGTACTATACATCTGTAAGGCCTAGTACTGTACATCTGTAAGGCCTAGTACTATACATCTGTAAGGCCTAGTACTGTACATCTGTAAGGCCTAGTACTATACATCTGTAAGGCCTAGTACTGTACATCTGTAAGGCCTAGTACTATACATCTGTAAGGCCTAGTACTGTACATCTGTAAGGCCTAGTACTGTACATCTGTAAGGCCTAGTACTATACATCTGTAAGGCCTAGTACTGTACATCTGTAAGGCC